TTTACTGCAGGAAAAGTGATTCTCGTTTTTAGAAGAAAGGACTTCGCAGTCGGAAATTTGACTAACAGCATAATTTTCAAATTGGATGCACGAGAGATTTTCAAGAATCATCCATTGTCTTGGGCATTGCTGTCATAGTGATGCTTTTATGTTTTATATTTTCAGTTGGAAGTCTTGATTTAAAAGTTAACGGATTACCGTACGTTTCAAGGATTCCGGAGCAGTTTTCGCCAATATATATTGCAAAGTTAGTTGAACCTCGATAACTCAAATCCTTCTGTCGAAATTTTTCCAATTCCCTCTCTGAGTTCCCTTGAAAACTAGGTATTGAAAGCCTCCTTAACTCGAAAGCTTTCCCTCTCAAACATTCATGACCCGAATTATCTGGGGACATTTTTGCTATCATTGTATTGAGGCAGGGTACAGAAAAGCAATAAAAATTTGTTTTGATGAAAGTGAAAGATTAATCGGGAAAAAGATCCCTTGCCTCCAAGTTCAGCATCTTTTAAACTTATTTATTCCTCATTTATTTAAGGCCATAAATCGCGCATTTAATTTCCTGTAATTCTTTATATTTATTTCCAGCCAAAATGTAGCGGTTTCCTTAGCTCGAATTTTTCGATGTTCCCTTGGAATTCGACTTGAAGAGGTTCGACTGTACAGTACGTGGATAAGTAATTTTCGTGGTACTGAAATAGATTATTCTGTAGTACAAACCGTAGCATAAATATTGAGGAACTTTTTTTTTACCAGGTATTAAGCACGTTCATCAACGACGGCATTATTGTATAACAGATTTGTAAACTTGTTGAGTAGCGTAACATGCACTTAACATAAAAGTTATAAGTGTGCGTCGTTCGTAGTGAACAGCTGCCTTTGTGCATTCTCAACGTGTTTATTAACTCATCGTGCACCCGCGTTTAAGCCAAAGGAAAGCATAACTGCACTATAGGTAGGCGCAAGAAAACGTCGTCTTCTCCCAATGCGTTCAGGTTTTCCACCGCCGTCCACATGCAGGGCCAAGTGACGATTTTTGGATGGTTGGACGACAGGAATCTGGTCATATTTTCGTTGAATCTGTACATTTTTTGGGGGGGATTTGATCAAGTTTTCTGCAATGAAGTCTAATGGCTTCAATTCGAAAGAATGATCAATTTTTTGGGATCAACTTGAAGTGTTTGCAGCCGACTCCGATCACTTGGACATGCAACCAAACAAGTTTTTAACATTGTGAAAATATTGTTTAATTGAACGCCTAACTTTATTTTATGGTTTTGCATGTTTTTCTATAGACGACTGAATCGAGTTATCTTTCAATGGTTCATGAGAACTGCAGCATAAGTTTGGTCCGATTTCAAGACCTGTTCATGAAAAAAAATTTAACTGGTTTTTTCTTTTGATTCTCAATGTGAAAATGTGCTGCTAATTTAAATACCTCATTTAAATTAAAACCATTGATTTAAAACTGATGGTACACATCCACAATGCTAATGCAGGTGGTACCTTGTAATTCAACCTCCCACAATTTGATGGTTGAATTTGCAGGGAGCTTGACTTGCAATTTGACTCTTGCCCCACAATTTGACCTGCTAACCCGTAAAAAAGTGTAGAAACTTGACCTTAAAAACTTAAAGTCCCTTACAGGACGTGAAACTGGTTAAAGGTTAAGTTGGGATCAAGACGTTACCTAATCACAATTTAACTATTCAATGGTGGATCACATTAACCAGAGCACTGCCACATTCTATAAGCATTAAAATCCACCAACAAAATCAGTCAAGGTACTCAAGCATCAGTTAAAGCCACCATATGTCCTTGGTCAAATATTGGCACTAAGCATGAATTGCGCTAAATGGAAATAAATGTGCTGTGTCAGATATTATCAGCACTTTTAACAGAAGATAATATTTGTGCAGGGTTAAATTTGTGGCTCAAAGCAATGTTTGTTGTACCATAATGCAAGGAAGCAATAAAGACAAGATAAATATTAAATATCTTAAATATTTAAGGCTATATTTTACTTCATGGACTTCTCATCCCACTTCCAAGACAAAGAAATGGTTCTTTTTTTTGTTAGAATCTCCAACAGCATGTTCATTATCATCTAACAGTAAAATTTTTTGTTCCAGCATCATTTCATTAGACTAGTTCTAGTTTTTGTCCATATACAATTGGTTCTCATCCAGTGAATTCAATGGCTCACATGCATTTGCAACATGAGAACTTGGAAAGCTCTCATTTTATGTCCAGGAGAATGGGCTCATGCTAGTGTGATGAATAAATCAAGTTACAAAAAATCATTGAAGTATTTTTAGAAGCATATTATTTAGAGTTTTAGACATTCCTCAGAAATTGAATTATATTATCTAATATTGTCTTGGAGTGTTGAAAGTCACCTTTGAATTTCTTGATTTAGCCCAGGTTCCCCAAAGGGTGGATTAGTGGGTGGAATGTCCATCCAAAGAGCACTCTTCACATTGGCATTCTCCCATGGCTTCATCACGTGCTGCAAATACTTTTCAAAGTCTTTTTGAAACCTGGAGTTGANTGCAACCAAACAAGTTTTTAACATTTTGAAAATATTGTTTAATTGAACGCCTAACTTTATTTTATGGTTTTGCATGTTTTTCTATAGACGACTGAATCGAGTTATCTTTCAATGGTTCATGAGAACTGCAGCATAAGTTTGGTCCGATTTCAAGACCTGTTCATGAAAAAAAATTTAACTGGTTTTTTCTTTTGATTCTCAATGTGAAAATGTGCTGCTAATTTAAATACCTCATTTAAATTAAAACCATTGATTTAAAACTGATGGTACACATCCACAATGCTAATGCAGGTGGTACCTTGTAATTCAACCTCCCACAATTTGATGGTTGAATTTGCAGGGAGCTTGACTTGCAATTTGACTCTTGCCCCACAATTTGACCTGCTTTGGGCATTTTTTCACATCTTTGAACTGGAATTTTTGAATTTCAGGGAATGTCCTGCACTTTGACCAATTTCCAATTCAACCCTAGTTCTGCAATGGATTAGTGTTAAATTGATAAGTTACCACCTATACATTAACCAGAGCACTGCCAAATTCTATAAGCAGTAAAATCCACCAACCAAAATCAGTCAAGCTACTTGAGCATCAGTTTAAAGCCACCATATGTCCTTGATCAAATAGTGGCACTAAGCATGAATTGCGCTAAGTAGAAATAAATGTGCTATGTCAGATTTTATCAACACTTTCAACAGAAGATAATACAGTATTTGTGCAGGGTTAAATTTGTGGCTCAAAGCAATGTTTGTTGTACCATAATGCAAGGAATCAATGAAGACAAGATAAATATTTTCTTCAATATTTAAGGCTATATTTTACTTCATGGACTTCTCATCCCACTTCCAAGACAAAGAAATGGTACTTTTTTTGTTAGACTCTCCAACAGCACATTCATTATCATCCAACTGTACAATTTTTTGTTCCAGCATCATTTCATTAGATTAGTTTTTGCTCATATCCAATGGGTTCTCATCCAGTGAATTCAATGGCTCACATGCATTTGCAGCATGAGAACTTGGAAAGCTCTCATTTCATGTCCAGGAGAATGGGCTCATGCTAGTGTGATGAATAAATCAAGTTACAGAAAATCATTGAAGTATTTTTGAAAGCATATTATTTGGACATTCTTCAGCAATTGAATTACTAATAGATTATAACAGAACCTCACAACTTTCAGTGGAAACTTAAAGAACTAAATCGGGTCCAAGGGGTTTCCCACCTAATCACCCACCTTACAGGTAGGTTTCTCGTGAGAAGTGTAACCGTAAGAGCCATGGCTTCATCACGTACTGCAAATACTTTTCAAAGTCTTTTTGAAACCTGGAGTTGAAAAGCATGTACCTTGGGGGAGGGAAAAGACTGTCATATGCTAGGTTGAAAACCCCCATGACCCGTTTACCCCCTTTGAATACTTCACTCAGCAAAGGGTCAATGTGTGGGTCCAGTGCTGTGTGCTGATGAAGTCTGGCATAGTGGTAAATCAATTTTAAACGCCCACTTGTTTGGACAGCTATCTTGTAAGGCCGAAGTCCAACCTGTGGTCTTGTTTCAAAATAATAGAGGAAAAAATAATGAACTGTGTATCTGATTAATTTGAGAGGTTCTTAAAATGATGGGTCATGCTAAAGTTTCTATTGCAAGTTCATCATGCATCTTGTTTCTCCAATTTCTCAAATGGAATTATTTAGGAAATTTGTAATTTGTTTAGTTCAATTTTTAAAGGAAAATCTTCATTTTTCTGCATTTCTTTTTGCAGAATGAGAATCCAGGATTGAATCTACTCTTACTGTTTTCCAAATCAGTGTTCCCCAACCCAAGGTCCTAGGACTGCTCTGGTTTGCATATGTTTTTGGCTGGTCTTCTGGTAATTTTCTTCAGCATAATAAATGCATCAAAAGTAGCAATGGAATCCGGTATTGTCTTTGTGTGCAATTTGGAAAAGACAATGGTAGGTTAAATTATCTGATGGAAATTTAAAGGTTTTTTCTCCTAATAAGGCTTCTGAAAAATTATTGCCTGCTGAAATAAATTATTTTTAATTCTGAGAAATCTTTCTTGAAGCCCAACTTTCTAAATTTTTTGATGACATTCCTCTATATATAGCTACTTCATTGGTTCTTGACCGAATTTTTCACAATAGCAAAACTTTTAAATACCTGCCATAAAGTCTTCAAAGTAAAACTTTTTATGTCTAAAACAATTTCATGAGACTTTGCTGGTCTGCAGAACAATTTTATGGAAATTTGCCAGTCCACAGACACAAGAAGGTTGGGGAACACTGTTCTAAATTACTGGATTGTGTTCTTATAAGTGTAATATTGTAACAGCAGTATACAAAATGAAAACAATCAAATTAACTGATGTAAATGGTGTGCAAATGAACAAAATATGCACCACAGGTCAAAATTTTGGCTCTTGAGGGACAAGGGATCATGAGTCAGAAGCAAGTTTGAGAAATTAGACCCAGAAGCCAGTGCTATATGATAATTTTAAAAATTTTCTTCCAATATTATAGATGATTCAAAGCTTTGGAACATACGAATCACTGGTCCTGATGGGTTTCCCAAGAATCATGGTTGCGAAGGAGTCAAAGATGGCCCTCATTCTGGAGTCGCCTTCTAGGAATATCATGGGATATGTGCTGTTGTTGATGGTTGCTGTCTGTTCAGTGATTCTGTCAATGCACTGTTGCGTCATATTTCGTGAGTAGCGTTTTATTGAGCATTTTATCTCCTGGCCTCCTATGGAAGAGGTTAAAAAATGAAATTTGGAATAAAATAGGTGGATACTGGATAGTACACTTGTACAGTATAACACAGTCTTTGATTTATGTTACATTCTTCTGATGACTGATTAATGGCCATGGACAAATATTGGCACATATTTTAGCACATTTACTCAAGTAATTGCACCATGATTTTTGGCACAACATTTGCCCATATTAGACCCACATCCCAGTTTGAATGAATTTAAAAAAATCAAATAATGGTTTGTTACAAAACAACTTTATAATTAAGTCAAAGAACAAGAATGGAATCAGGATTGCTGTCAAACCGATTTTTATAAATCTATTTTTCAAATTATTTTCTGCCTTGCACCAATATAGTTACATGATTTTTCAATTGCATGCCAATTGCATCCCACTTTTCTGACTCGATTTTCCCAAAAAGAAAGTTTGTGTGGTACTTGGGTATATATAATACTATTTTATCATGATTGTGTCAACTGTCCAGAGCAATTTTGGCGGTTTAAAGAGGTTGGCGGTTTATCAAATTTTTAATTTTCATTATTTGATAAAAAAATTCTCGATTTTCCTCCAAAAGTCAGAGATACAGGTTATGTGTAGAAGCTTCAGTAATTTTCCAAAGAGTATTGATGTGATCAATGGATTACTCTTTCAGAAAATAAATTTTGCTGCATCAATTTATTCAAATTTTAAGATTAGGTCAATATCTTTTTCAAAATTTTCAACATTATTATTTTTTTCTCACAAATACAAGATCCTTGGCAGAAATTGTATTTCTACCCCAATGTTGGAATAGTAACAAAGACAAAACTAATTGGAAACAGCACTTTTGTTTCATCAATAATGCTGGTGGATGGCAGTTGGCGTCTTATCAAGGTTTTCTATAGACTTTAACATAGAGATTTGTTTCATTCAAAATTTTGGCAGTTGCCAAGGGTTGCGCTTTATTGGGGGGCGTCTTAACCGGGTTTGACTGTATATCTATGGGTAAATACAATTTTGTTCCATCATAACACTTGGTACCTGCAAAACCCTTCCCTATAAGGAATATTTTGTAATGCCTAATTGTTGTGGCTATGTACCATAGTACATATAGTAGTGTCCAGGAAAGAAATGTTTTCAGAAATTAATTGGTTATAGCCACATTTATTGTTACAAGATGCACAAGAACATGAACTACTGATTGATTTGGCATATGTTAGTAAATGACAAAAACTTGTGAACCCTTGAAGCAGTTGAGCTTAAGTTGAAGTTTTTATTGAACCTTGATAACTAGGATGGTGATGTCCAAGTCTCAAAAACTGCTCAAATCAATATAATTTGAATATCTTACCATCCATAAATTGTATCTTTGTAGTAAGAGGAAGATTTGAACCCAACAAAAGAGCTCTGCATGTGTTGGGACAGAAATTCCAGAAAACTGCCTTCCTTCCATGCAAGGCAATGAACATAAGAACCACTGCCAATATCACACTCCTCAAAATCACTGACCATTTTCTTTCTGCTACCATTGGCAAACTTGAATCAAATCTGCAAGTTCTACTGGTTTTCTTGCATCCACTGATAAATCTGTTGCCAACGGATTTCTATCCATGAATATTTCCAGTTCCCACGGCCATTTCCTTTTCTTGAGCGTATTTTGTCCCTTTTCTCATGAAAAGACATTTTGTTCTCGGGACTCTTCAAGGAAGATTAAGGATGAGAAAAAAACACACATCTTCTGATTGGTATATTTGTTTTCTATCCATATTCCAGCAAACGCAGGCAAAATATTCACAGTAGTTGATTAAATCAGGCTCAAGTTTGAACATAGTAATCATCCTCATTCCAGTGCTGAAAATGTTCAACAAAATACTTTCCAGAGTTCATATCCCTGAAAAATTCAGAGAACAACATCTGATAAGTTCCAAGCCACTCAATGGAATCCATATTTTGTGGGTATTGCACAATTCCACAATGCACAGCAAACTGAGGAGGTTCAAGGAATTTCTCTTCTATTTCAAAAATGTGCCCTGCAAAAAATAAAAGCTCAATTAATTTTCATGAAATTGAAAAAAAAATGTGTTAGAATGATTGCACATACTTGGAAGAACTTCTTGGATGCATCCAAAATCAACTGCCACCACAGACACTGATAGTGATGAATCAGTTTCCACAATGAGTCCTCTGAGAACTAGGCCAGGTGTCACCATGAATAAACATGGGTCTCCAATTTTGGGAAGAGGCATTTGAACTAATTTAGTTGAAGATGAAATTTGAAGCATAAGTTCTTCAAGCTCCAAAGCATTCTCAGCCAACTGCACCCAGAAATCATCTTGACTTGAAATACTGGTCACAAGGCAGTCATGCATTGAAATGGAAGAGATTGTGATGGTCTTGTATGGATTTGTGATGTTTTGAGTTGCTGGTGTTCTTGTGGGCTTTGTGATAAGTACCTATAAGAGAAGTTCACAAAAATTTTGGATTTGAGGAAAACCATGTTCTACCAATGTGAAACTTCCTTTGTGGTGAATCATTGTACAGGGTATACAAAAGGAGTTTTAATCTGTTCAATTCTGCTTTAGCACAAATTTGTTGCTATTTTGATGAGAATAGATTTAAATCCTGAAGGACTTCCTTGATTTTAAGGAAGACACATTGATTTAATTAATTTCAATAGGAAAGTGCACATTTCTAATTTCCTTTGTGTTGTTGACTAGAAACCATGATAAAGGGTGCACAAAAAAAAGTGCACATGTTTTATTCTGGCAAATCCTGCTTTAGCACCTATTTTTGATTGAGAAAACGTCTAAATCCTGTAGGACTTACTCTATTTTAGGCTTTAGAAAATGAAGTGTTGGTAAAAAACTTGGCTCTCTTGCAACTGCTGGAAAACAAAATCTTACCTCACTCACCATGGCTAAAATATCTGAAGTAGCTATTTCTTCAAGTTCTCATTCATGCATTGATAAGATATTTTGTCATGACCAATTGTATTTTTTCAAATCACTTTAATTTGAATGATCAAAAGAAGCTTAGCTCTCTGGCAACTTTCAAAAAACTAATATTAACCTCACTCATCATGGCTAAAATTTAAAAAATAGCTTGTGTTAAAAGTTCTCATGATAAAACTCATGCCTGAAAAAGAGGTTTTATAGTTATCAAGTAATATTTTATCAAATCCTTTTGATATCAATGATCATGAAGTTACGCAAAATAGAAGCTTTTATCTCTTGCAACTGCTGAAGAACAAATTCTTACCTCACTCATCATGGCTGAAAAATTAAAAGTGGCTTGTTCTTGAAGTTCTCCAGTTTCCAAATAATCAAACTCGTCCATTTTATTGAATCCAACTGATGATTCAAAAGCGCTCTTTGATAAAACTTCAAAATGGCCATCTTCCTCGCCGCCATTTTCTA